TTGTTTTTTTATTATTATTTTTATTATTAGGCTCAAAATATAAATAGTGACCCTCGTACCTATGGTTAGGCAAATTCATAGGAAAATTCTCCATGGGAATTTGGAGCAGGGTCCTCGCAAGATCAATATTTTTCAATAAAATTTGCAACACAACAAGTTCAATATATGTATTAATAAAATGCCAAATTACAAGTGGATTGTATTTATACTTTTCCCGCAATCCATACTCAAAAAATCATCATTTTTCAGGCTTGGTCATGGTGTACTCCCCCCTTAAGAAGTTATCGACACTTAAATTCTGTGACTTCAAAGCACTATATCTTTTTATCTGTTGATTTTATGTGAATGTAACAATGGAGACATTTGTTCAGAATCACAAGAAGTATAACATATCTCAAAATAAACCAATTTTACCGGGGTTATTTTTTTATATAAAACTTGAGGGGTCCTATCTTCTGTTTTGTTCTTTCTTTTGTTAAATGACCCTGATCATTTCAGGCAAAGTCTACAGAGACAGATTTTGAGTAGAGCCTGCTACCAATTTTTAATTGCAGAAAGGCAACATATTATACATAGAGTTTATATTATCAGATAATATTAGCAAACTGCTGTCAAAAATATAACAAAGCTTATTGACATACTATGTCAGCAAATTGGTGACAGAAACCAAAGAGTCTGTTGACATAATCTGACGGCAGATTAGCAGCAGAAACCGAGCAAAATCTGTCATTTTCATATACGGTCTCGCCACGAGATAAACTTGCTTCTCGTAAGAAGAAAACACCCAGGAGTTCTATAAGAATTGGCGTCTGTAAATCGAATAGGCAAATCTAGAGACTCCCAAGTTCTTTTGAAGTGTGCTTTCTGAATCTCTGAATATTTTTTTACTATTTTATAACTTTCTCATGTATATTTTGAAATGTGAAGCTAATCGATAATATTTTAGCAATAAAACTGTATTGATTGTTTCCAGTTTTTACACCAGTTATATATAAATATATAATTATGTATAATTATGTATAATCGTTTATATATGTATATAAAATTTTTTTATAAGAAACCAGGTCGATTTAAATAAAAATGACAGATCTTGCATTTCCGTGAAATTGATACCCGACCTTTACAATTCAGGTTTCAAAGAGTGTAGAATTTTGCCTGTAAATGACTGTAGTAATCATTATTTCGTTTGTAATTAAAAAATTAGAATGTTTCCGATTTTTAAAAAATAGGTAGGATTTTTTTCAGCTACGGCTCAAGTGGCACTAGATTTATATATGAAATCGTTTGTAGTTGTTTGTAGTAGCAACATTTTTTGTTTGTAATTAAAAAATAAGAGTATTATCAATTTAAAAAAGACAGGTACGACATTTTTCTCAGCTACAACTCAAATAGCACCAGTTATATTATATGAAATCATTTGTAGTTGTTTGTAGTGATTTTCCGATTGTTTGTAATTGCACCGTTTAATAGTTACAACAAATTTACAAAAAAAAAACAAATTACGTAACTTTGTAAATTTTTGAAATATCTGAAAAATTGACAGAATTAATTAATTTATTTATTGTAAAATGGTTTGTAACTGTTAAACGGTTTAACCACAAACGATTCTAAGGAAAATGCCGCAAGTGAATTAGAGATATCTCAGAAATTAGTAAAGTTACGTAATTTATTTATTGTAAGTTTGTTGTAACTTTTAAACGATGCAACTACAAACGAATGTGAAACAACTACAAACGATTCTAGAAAAGATGCCGCAAACAGATTAGAGATATTTCAAAAATTAGTGAAGTTAAGTAATCTGTTTATTATTAATTTGTTGTAACTTTTAAACGGTGCAACTACAAACGACAGGAAAATCACTACAAACAATTACAAACAATTTCATATATATGTATAACTACAGGTGCCATTTGAATTGTAACTAAGAAAAACATCGTACCTGTCTTTTTTAAATCGACAGCACTCTTATTTTTTAACTACAAGCAAAAATGTTGCTACTACAAACAACTACAAATGATTTCATATATAAATCTGGTGCCATTTGAGCTGTAGCTGAAAAAAGTTTCCTACCTGTTTTTTAAAAATCAGGATCATTCTTTTTTTTAAACTACAAACGAAATAATGATTACTACAATCATCTACAGGCAAAATTCTACAAGAAACACCCTTTGAAAGGTAAAAGTCGGGTGCCAACTTCACGGAAGTAGATCTTGCTCGGTTTCTGCTGCCAATCTGCCGTCAGATTATATCAGCAGATTCTGCTCGGTTTTTGTCAGCAATCTGGCAAAACATGTTAACAGGCTTTGTCGACAAATCCGTAGCCAAATGTGGATACAGATGACTATGGTTTTGTAGTCAAGATCTGATCGAATTTGCTGCCAATTTGCGCGCAAATTGTTAACATTTTGCTATCAGGGAAGTTAAACCATTGATTTTGAATTTCTATTTACATTTTAATACGACTAGATCAGTTTACATTTTTATTTAATTTTTATTATCAGGTTACTTTAATTGGCTTTTAAATGTACCTAACTAGATTAAAAATATTTGCATGTTGATCAAATAACATGTTTTAACTTAAAAAACTTTAACTCTTTATTTTCTCTCTTCCTCGTGATATTCTCACCTGTAAATGTATCTAGGTCTTTCTTCTTCTGCGAGTCTTACGGCATTACCACCGACATTCGCCACAGCCATCACAAAGTCTCGTCTCGCTTGCTGCAAGTCCTCCAACTTGCCCTGCACTGTGACTGCTTCAGCAGCATCTTGCTCATCGAGAGTCTCTCTACCAAACAATGTCCGTGATTAAAAAGTTATTGAAACATTGCAATTATTAATCTGATAAATAAACAAATTTAAAAAATTCTTTGAAATTATTTATTCCATGAACAATGAAATTCCCAATATTCGTCATGAAATAGTTCTGGATTCATTAAGTTTACTGTAATATTCTTATTAGAAGATTCAAAAGTTTTAAATACATAATCCGATTTGCATGTTGAAGTATAATTTTTTTTTCATATTTTCTTTGCGTTAAAGACAAAAAGATTAAAGAAGATCCGCAATTTTCCAACTTTCATCTCGCAGGAACGAAATCTTTTTAGATCTAGTTTTATTCATCTACTTTTCCAGGACATTATCGGGATAATTTCAAATTTCACCTGATCACTTGAATCGAGCGATTCGCTACTTCAGATGTCGCTGCTTCAACGCTGGCCGCAGATGGTTGAGGAATGCTGACGATAGTGGTCCGATTCTCGTTCACCGATTTCGGTGGTATCACAATGCTATCAATTGGACCCTCGTCTATTGGCTCAGCTTGAATCACCTGGGCATTCATGGATCTCGCTAATTCCCTGGTTCTCTCGGGGATAGTCGAAAACGGTTCCGGCGCTCTTCTCTCTGGCGTCATTCGTCTTTCTGGCCTTCTCGCTGGTCTAGGAGGAGAAATCGGAGGAGACACTGTCAGGGCACGTCTAATAGGTTGTCTCTCTCTACCAAATCTAGAGTGTAAAAATTGTAAAATATATTTAAGATGCATTTTAGGAAAAACGGTACCATGATGTACCTAAGCAGTACGCAGTACAGGTACAGTGTTGATACGCTGTATTATAATATCATGTACATTTTTTGTACTGCTATCGTACAGTTACGTCGCGCGCGCGCGTACACCGCCACCTCGTGGCAGTACAGTAACAGTAGTGGTACACGGAGAGAATTTTTTCTTAGAATTTACTTTGAAAATATGACAGTCGTGGAACAACATTGTATTTCGAAGAATTTTAATATAAATCTCTCTC